TGGGCTATTTTTATGTCCAGTTTGTACACACACACACACACACACACACACAAGAGAAATGGGTTTATATTTTGCACAAAACATATAGTATGTGATTAAGCGCTGACATTTGGAAGAGAACTATTTTAGAGTAGTAAAAATAGTTTTAGGACCAGTCATCTTCAACTGAAGCTTGCCTGACACTTGGACAAAAATATGCAAGTCTTTCAAAACTGACTTTCCTCCTCCACAGACTGCAGAAGGGGAGAATCAGAGTTTCTTTCAGATTCAGAAACAGCCATTTCAATCCATTCATCAGCTGCCAAGAAAGGCCCCAAACCATCATTAACTATCACTGTCCTTTTGTTGTGCTTGTCCTGTGGTTTTTAATCTGATCCATCCTTCTCTCTGTTTTGTAAACAAGAAATTGTCAGCCCCATTCAAGAGGCCCAAGCAGTGAAGCACCTGATTTCTATAGCAACCAGCAAGTAGGTCGTACTGCAGAATGAAGCACTGATTGCTTGGCAATAACTTCTGTGAAGCTCTCCCTTAAGTGGACAGTGGACAGAACATGGACCACTACTTCGTTTACTAAAGCCTTTCTACATGAAATTCTCCCCCCAGCAAATCTGTAGTCTTCCACTTCCCTTTATCATGTCATGGATCAGCTGCTACTGAGGCACAAGAGTTTTGACCTGTAGAAGTAAAGGTATTGAAAGGGTGGAGGAGGTGGGTGGGATCAGGTACGAAAAACAATTAATTAAGATGTTAAAGCCAGAGTTATTCAAGTTAATCCATGGGTCCAAAACCAAGAAGTATCACAGAAGAAGGAACATCTCCCAAAGTGGCCATGGACCAGGTAAAGGTCATTATACCCAGGAAAACAGTTCACTGTCTCTGTTTCCAGCATGAGGAGTAGCTGAAAGAAGGTTGGTCACAACAACTGCCTTCACCTCAGACCTTGCCTACACATTGGCCTCTGGCAGGCTTAGCTGCCATTTTATCATGGTTCTGGCTACCAAGGAGGTGGTTTATCCCAGGGAGCCCAAACCTGCAATCAGTCTCTGTTCCTCCACCTAATTTTAATCTGGGGGGCAAAGGGACCAGAACATAGGACTTTGAAATAATAATCTCTCTTTTCAGTCGGTTTTTAAGTTTAGGGATTTTTCAAAATATAATTTTGTAATCAGTAGGGTGAACTTATAGAAGAGTTAATTAATTTATTTTCCTTCACACCTACATTTGATAGGAAACCTCATCACTGTTCTGTAATTTGGTGCTGAATTTTGGTGGCAAAATCTAGGGGACTCCATTGATTATAGAAAAGGGGTCAGGAGCCACATATTGGCTGCAACCATCCAGATGATCACCATGTGGCGTCAAAGAAGTAAATGTTTTCTATATCTCTTCGCTGTTGCCTAGTGGGCATTCAGACTGTTTTTTTTTCAGCCCAGGTCCATGTGCCTTTAATCTTCCACTTCTAGAATAGAGAAAGATGAAAGATGAAAAGGGGGGGGGGGGTATGCAACCTTTCCAGAAAGAATTATGCAAATTGGAATATACATATGATTGGATATAGCAGAAAAGTATTGCATATAACAGCACATCGTGATCTAATGTGGTCAGTTGAGGGGTGGATTCTATGAAACAAAGAGGCAGTATTTCATAAGTATAGTTCTCCCCCCCCCCAAGAGTTAATTTCATAGGTTTATGTTATAATGGCCTTGTGTTACAAAGCCTATGTTCATTTACTAGTACTTCCCCCACCTTCATCAATGTTTCTTGGCCTTCTAAATGTTATATGGCCGAGATGACAGTTTATTTTCCCGGGGAAAAATGGATTTGAGGACAAGATAATTCACATCATCTTTTCTACTACACTACCTAATCTTTGACCTTCTGGGGCACCATGGGCATAACTGCTACACAAGCAAATGAACCTTCTCTCTTAATGCTGGCAACCCTATGCGCTGCCCACTTGTGGGGATGTACTGCTCTAGAAATGTCCTTGAGCAGGAAACACTATATTGAAGGTTTCTTTTCCGTTGCAGAAACCATCAAAGAAGCCTTGAAAGAGGCCAAGCTGGTTCAGAACATCTTCAAGGTGAAGACACAATTCAGTGGGCCTTCTGTGCAGTCCCTTGAGTTATGATCACTTCGATCCAGTCGGGTATACAAATCAAAATTCATTGATAAGAAAAACAATTATTATTAGGAAATGTACATCAGTAACAGAGTAGGGATGGGCACGTGAGACAAGTATTTCTTCCCAGATGTTTTGAAGACCTGCAAATTATAAAAAATACATTAGGATCACCTAAAGGATTATAATAAATGTAGTTTATACCCAGGCAGAATAATGGTTTAATACCTGTCATGTGCTCATTTATGAAATTTCTGCCCTGTCCTAATCAAAGATCAAGTGTTGGCATAGATCATTTTTGTTTTGTTTTTCCCCCAAGATGACAGGGACTTTGCTGCCAGTATCCCCATCTTGCTGCTGTAGCAAAAAGATTATGAACGTGATTGGAAATTCTTTTGCCTGATCACGTTTCACAGAGTCACAATAATGTTGTAGCTGCATATGACACCTAGCTGAATACTGTGATGCATATAAAAGACAACATGTCCTTGAATTAGAGAGTTTGCAGTCCAGCCATTCCCACTGAGAGAAGAGACATAGCTAACAGGAAAAAAAGATACAAGCAATTACCTTCATTTTGTCATTGTTTCTATTGCAACTCAGCCAAAAGGGTCTGGGTGGTTTAGTTATTTATTTAGAGTAGATTGAAACCTTGACTTTCTTCCAGAAGTTCTATGGTACACATAGAACTGTTATCTCCAGTTTTCTCCACAACAGCCACCATGTTATATCGGTTGTGTTCAGAGAATTCACCCAGTGAGTTTCTCAGTGGTCAAATTACATAGGTAAAAACTGAGCTGGAATACATGTTTAGATTCTGGACAAGAGAAGGGGAGACTGGCCACCTCAAACTGGTAGATACTGTACTCCGGTGGATTTTTCTGCCGCAGTTCGTCTACAAGGAGTGGGAGCTATTTGACTTTGTTTCTTCTCAGTTCTTCCAGGAAAGGTATCCCTCTATCAGGTACACAATGCTTGTGTTGTTTTCACTCAAGCATTCTTACTTCTGATTGGTTCTTCGCTTGCCCATAAGCCATTTATGCCATCTTAGTTGTTGTTCTAAGAATTGGTCCAGTTCTGGAGATCAAAGCATGTCCAGGAAACTGATGTTCTCTCTAACTTGACACTGGTGTTTGGCTCAAAGGCTATTTCTGTAACCCATAAGAAGCTGTTCTTGCTAGGTTTCCATTTCCATCTGCAATGCTACACACCTCTCAGCCTACATATTCTTTATCAATAATTCCCAAGTTCAAGGTCCTCAGCAGGTTTTCAAAATATGCACATCTTAAAACTTGTTACAGAAAAGATACTTTGAACGTAGGAGAAAAATCATAGCATCAATAGCTGGCCTGTGTGAGACCTCAAAAACACCCCTATAATGTCCTTGCATGTAAGGAGATTCCTGTTCATCTAGTGCTAATAATTTCATTTAGTATATGGTTCTAGGATGTTGTTTTCTGGTACAAGATGGAACTAGTTTGATGAGGTTTTTTCCCAACCTTATAGTCATCTGAGATACTATCCAGTAGAAAAAAACATTCTGCAGAGGCTGCGCAGAACATTCTACCAGAAGGTAGAAACAAAGAGTCAAAAGGGACTTGGAGGGTCACGAATCCAATCTTCTGCTCAGCGTAGGATCTGTAATGCAAGATGCAGCTAAAACTTTACTGACAGATGGTGTCTTGCTTCTGCTTCAGTTTTTGCAAAAAACCAGAGCCTGCCACTTCCCCGAGCAGATGGTTCCACAGTTAAATGGCTTTTAGTACTTGGAAGTCTGTCCCAAAGTTAGGAAGTTTCTGCTACTGTTCAACCCAACTCTAATTAATGGAGTTATTAAAGATAGAACATTCACTTTAACTCTGATGCCCTTGGGCTTGTAACCTGACCTTTGCCTGTGTGTGTACTTGGAAAAATGCCAGTGCAATGATGACACTAAATAAAAAATAAAAGTAACAATAATTCAAGACTGGTCTGTAACAAAACCAGCACTTCTGTACAGTAATTGCTGAAAGTTCCAGATCCCAGATGGATTGCCACCACCTGAACACACACAGTTGATAGTGAAATATCTCATCAAGTTTAAAGTTTGTTTTGTTAATTGTGTACGTATATGATTTTTAGAAAAATACAAATTAAAGATCTATAAATTAATATAGATACATATAACTCATCAATCACCATTTCTGGTTTCCTGTCCAGAAAATAGAAATAAATACACAGGTGTATTTATACATATACAGGTAGTCCCTGGGTTAAGAACGCCTGGTTTAAGGATGATCCATAATTGAGAACAGAGCCTATTGTAGAAAAAACTGAGTTAAATACACAATGGTTCAAGTTAATTACACAATATTATTTATACAGTATTATACAATAATACTGTTCCAGCTTACATACAAATCCGACATAAGGACAGACCTTGGCAATGGAACTTGTTCTTAAACTGGGGACTACTAGTATACCATATAAATATAATTTAATGCGCCTCCTTCTGACTTTTAAAAGGGACATGATGGAAAGGAAAATACATATTCATGCACCATTGGAAGACCAGAAAGATTAGGTTAGGGACAGGTCGCCATGGAGAAAATCTGTCTATGTGGTTGTTAAGAGTTGACGCTAACTTGATGGTACATAATCAATCTATCACAAATCTTTACAATAAATAGGGATTGGGTTGTTGTCAGGATGAGCAGAGTCCCCCCATGGCAGCTGGGGCTTTCCTTCTGAAAGCAGTGCCAGGACTGTTACAAAATACAGCTTAGCCATCTATGCACCAACCTGAGAATCTGCACAGAAACAGGGCATTGATCCTACTCTAACAAAACGTCACCTCAAAAAAATGTGTCCTTTGAGTTGAACTTGACTCCTAGTGACACATCCACATTTGTGAAAGTATGGAAGTGGTTTGGGATGGCCTCCTTCCAGATGTTTTTTCAACTTCCAGATTGCAACCCCAGAGTTTCCTGGTAGTTTCCTATACAAGATCTAACTGAATCTGAACCTGCTCAGCTTTCTCAAGACCAGCTAGATGCCACCACTTCTGAGAGCTCAAAATACTCCCCATTCCATGAAAGAAATCACAAACTGCTCAAATCCTTTTATTGTATTATTACTTGACACATACCATCTTCCTTGTGGGCTCATCCTTTATTCTTGTAGGCCACTCTGTTAATATATGTTTGGTCTCGTTCAGATGAGCTCAGACAAGCTGAAGAAAAAAAAGATGAAATAAACCATTGAGAGACTCGTTGACTACATCAGTAGAAATATAGTCAAGCAACCATTTGTGGTTCTTTAGATGCTGAATGAGACTTTTTGGGCCTTAAATGGTAATCTTAATTTGTGTTTGTGTTTGGTTTTTTTGCATGAAACGTGCTATTGTGCTATTGCCTTTAAAGGACTGCCCTAGCTAACAAGTTACATCCTGGGTTTGATCTCTTGTGTCCAAGGATCAACTATATTGCATGAGCTGGGCTGTCAAATAGAATGAAATCAAAACTTGATTATTGTGGTCGTCCTTGAACAGAATTACAAATGCCAATATTTAAAGGCCTTTTGACATAGCAAGTAAGATGATAGAGAGAGGCAGTAAGTCATTTTACCTTTTGAACTGCTAAGCTATATATGGGAGAGGAAGAAAGAAAAGTGGAGGAAGACTCAGTTCAAGATGAAGATGATCTGACTGTGACATCTGTGGCCCTGCTGTTCACCAGGATTGACTAGGTGGGTATCAGGTTCCCCGAAGCAGCCTCCAACCTCACAAGCTTATCTTCATACAGCTTATCTTCATGTGATTGTTAAGCTAAAACTTACTCAAAATCTATCAAATGCTCAACATGGTACAGCTAGATAAGAATGCTCCCTGCAAACTAAAGTCATGTGGAACAGTTGATTGCCCCCTACCAGCATGAGGATGCAGTTCCCTTTTATATCCATGGCAGTTTAAATCCCTTACTTCTTCCTGCCTTCCCCATCTTTGAAAGTCTTCTTTGCTTTATGTTCTATGGCCTTGAAGATGAGTAGTTGTTGACATAATTGACATCTCTATGCTGAGAACTTCAGGCTGTCAGTTTCTGTCTCATGGCAGGGGTTCCCTTCCTCCGTCATTATTCTATCTGCACCCCTTCTAGCTGTGCACAGAGAGATTGTTGATCCTTGGCAGGAGTGCGCTGTTGGGTCAGAATGATCCAATCAGACTAGGTGTTAGAAAAATTCTGAATATGAATAGGTGGGAAAGATACAAGGGCAATCTCTTTCATCCCATTGATCACTAGGGTTGAATCAATGGATCTGATTGGCTGGTTAGGTGGTGCCCCCATCTTTATTCTCATTTTCTGTGAATCCCTCCTTAAAGCTGGGCGCTTGGTGGAAGCAGATGACAAAAAGGATTTGGAAATACAATAGCTGGATTTCTCTGCTACAGTCTCCAAAGCAGCATCCCATTTGTTGGAACACATAGAAACTGGTTGTTTTATATTCCTATTTTAATAGAATTATGCATTCAGAATTACTGAACTTTCCAGATTTTTTTCTCTCATAACTATTCCACCCAGGTCTCCATAAGTGACAGCAAGCAATGGCAAACCAACTTCTTACAGTTGCCAAGAAAGCTGCATGGATAGGTGTATGTGGTCACCAGAATCCACCTGGGAATAGATAGACTAGCTTGCAAAGCCCCAAGTTTGCATTTGCTTATTTAAGAATCCATTCCACCCTTATCTTTTTTAACGGCACAAACACTTCCTTATATATCTGACAAAGTTTTCAGCCATGCATTTTGATGCCCATCTCTTATAAAAGATTTTGTATATTTGTTGAGCACTGTATTGCAAAATTTATTAAGAAACGTGCAAGGGCCATTCAATGAAGCTGATTGGAAGACATTTTGGAATAGATAAAAGACAGCACTTCTTTGCCCAATACATAAGAGACTTGTAGAATTTGTTACCCCAAGATGTCAGGATGTCTATCATCTTGGATGGCTATAAGAGGACAGGTCTATCAAGGGTTATTGGTCTTAAAGTTTCAGTGTTACCTCTGGGTTGGGGGTTGCATGCCTCCAAACGCCCATTTACAAGGGAACCGCAGCAGGAGATAAGCATTCCCATCTCTGGCTTGGGAGAGCCCCCTGCCTTACACACACACACACACACACACCCAGTATCTCATTCACCGCTGTGAGAAACAAAACATCGGACTAAGATCATGACTATTGTTCTGTTCTGCTAACATTACACAAATATGGTACCACATCAGCGTAATAGGACAGGTTACGCCAAGTCATCCCTTTATCCACATTCAATTTTTATTTTAATTTTCTCTGCTTCCACCCTCCTCTTACTGTGTCCTGGGTAGGTGTCCTGGGTAGCTAAATTTTATATTTCATGAAAGCAGAGTTAGGGTAAGCAAATGCTGGGCAGAACGTGGTAAGGCAGAAGCAAAGCTTGTGAAATTTCCCATCCAGAGAATCATCATCAGCAAAACAATGGTTGTGCACACATGTGAGGGTTATGCACAGGGGAAACAGGTTTGTAAGCACTGGAATTGACAAGCATGGCATACAGAACAACACTGGGCAGTCAAATCTTTTTCTGTAATTTTGCAGAAGCCTTAGTTTTGACAACATGGCAACCACCTGAACATGCCACAGCAGCCATAAGCAAGTTGCTTGCCACTGGCTCCCCCCTCCCCCCGGACATTTTTGCCCAATTTAATCTATAGTCCTGGGATTTCCTATTGTTCTCCATCCTAGGACTAACCAAGTCTAAGTCTGCTTAGCTTTTTAGGATCAGCCATGTTAGTTTAGGTAGATAGCTGAAAATGCTGAAGAGCTTCAAAGGGAAGATAATTAAGTAGGAATAACATTAGGTGTTTAATGGCTGAGACCAAACCCAACCCCTAATTCAAATCTGTTGACCGTTTCTTTTGCTAGTACATATTTTTGAACAAAAAGAGAAAATAAAATGACTTCGTTATGTCATTTATAAAAAGCATTTCAAGAAATTAACTGGGGAAAAAAATCTCTTTAAGTATTAACTTTCAGATGACGGCACCTGAACATAAAATAAAAAGAGAAAATAAAATGACTTTGTTATTTATAAAAAAGCATTTCAAGAACTTGACTGGGAAAAAAAGCTCTAAGTATTAACTTTCAGATAACAGCATCTCACTGAGTAACTTAAATACTCCTTAACTGTATGCAAAGCATCTTCATATACTTTTGGTATCACGTATAGGGAAGTCTAAGGTAGCCTTCCTTAGAAGTTGACGCTTGGTGTTTCAACACAGCATTAGGGATAAACTATGTCCCTCCTTCTATTGATTGAGGCTGAATGAGGTGATGTGCGATGCATCACTCAGAAGAACAGCAGATAATTACATGGCTAGACACGTTAAGCTCCAGAAATGCTACATTAGTTGAGCTTGTCTGCCTGTTTTTGAATTCTGCTGTTAATTTCAGGGTTTAGTCAAAAATGAGAAGTTTAATAAACACCAGTGGTTTTCTTTTCCAAAAAAACTAGTTGGCAGAACTCGGCCTCCTGTGCCTTGATGCCCATCTTTTGGACGCATTTTAAAATGAAAGAATTCCTAGTTCAGACCAGTTTGTTGAGCTTTGGCATGTGAACAGTTGGTCCAAGCTCCCGCACCTTACTGATGCTGAGTTTTCAGAGCAGTCAATATAACTGGCTGTCTTATTTATCTGCAGGCCATTAACTGTTAATTTAGAAGAGAGTAGGTGAGATTTGCTCTTTCGCCTAGTTAAAAGGGCACCAAAATATGTAAGGGTTTATTTACAGAACTGAAAAGGACTTTTTATTCTATTAAGGGGGTTGGGGGTGCCTGATCTAATATATTTGAACTTGCTGTTATTCTCAGTTCGAAAATGTTTTAAAATGGTCTGTATGGCCGATCTTCATCCAAGCTGGGTGGACAGTAGTAGCCAACGAAGGCTGCCAATTCCCTTGATTTTGTAGCGCTAGGGTAAAGAAAGGCGCACGGGGCTTACTCTGAGCTCCCATTGTTGCCTAAGAACATTCAAAATATTTCAAGTTTTGGTCCATCAGGACACAGCCAATGGAACATTTCAGGCGGACTTCAAGTTCAGTATGAAGCAAGTTTTCCATTTTGTGCACATCCCTAACAGGTGCCCTCTGCGACTGCGACAGGCTCTGGGCTTGATTAACTTCTACTTGCAGCAGTGTCAGGGCAGGAAGACAACAACGGAAAAAAAGTGTGTGTGGGGGGGGGGGGAATGGATCTGCAGCTCCTAGGAAACCAGGAATTTACCACATGCTTTCTGAGTTTTACAGCATGCCTTTTCTGTTGCTATCAGAAATGCAGAAAATGTCTATCCTCGGTGCATATTGCTTTTACTCAATATCCCTTTATTTCACCCAGATGACTTTCGGGAAAACTTTCTTGCGAATCTTGCTTGATATGCCTTCAGGCAAGCGGAAGAAAAACCAAGTCTCCGGAGGGTGACCTCCTTGGCAACACTGCAGCTAATCGCTACGTGCCCAAGAATAGTGCTTAATATTTCATCAAGTGATTAATTTTCCAGCCGGTGCTTTAACCTTTATCGGCTTTGTTGTCGCTGCTGCTGCTGTTCCTTTGCCAGAGCCCTGAAACTATCCTCTAGGTGAGCAGTTACCATTTCCAAGCCTCTGATATTGTTTTGTCCAATAACTCATACCACCAGCAGTTCCCTGTTTGATAGAGCTTGTTGGCTGGTCGCCTTGAGCAAACAGAATCCCCCATAAATGAAACATTAACTGGGTACCATCGTGTTTCCTAAAAGCAAAATGGGAAAGCTCTTTTTTAGTCTCCTGTAATTGGATTATGGTAAACAGACACGGGCTCTCTCTCGGGAATTTGAGCTGACAGACAGAAGAGCTAGGTCAGGGGGCCAATGGCTGAAGACCAATATGTGCCCCAGAAATGGAGTGGCTCAGAACACGCTTGTGGTTCAATGCTGCAAGCTTTCAAGATCCATCCTTCTGACTTCAACCGTTACTCTCATGCACCACGAAAGGCCAGCAGCTTAATCCCCATCATGAAACATCTTTTGCCAACCCACTTGCCAACTGCTGTCCTCTCTGGCCACAGACATCCAGGAAACACAACTCAAATTGTTGGAATCCAGAAGAAAACATCTGACATATTGCAGGAACAGCTTTCCCTCGCCTTGGCAACCTGTTTGCTTCATTAGTCCACAAAAGTAGGCTCATAAATTCTCAGAGAAGCCTGTGTTTTAAAACCAGTTTGGTATAAAACAGTAATGCCTTGTGTTCCTAGCAGAGAAATAGCCTACTTTAGGCAGAGAATTGCATAAGCACTGCATTTTTTATGGGGCTGAAGAAGTTTAAAAAGATGCAAAATTACACAAATACTGGCTTCATACTGTGTGTGAGGAGAGGAGGAAAGCTGCAGTCCCTGAAAAATCAGGCATGATGAAGAGTTGTAAAACTCCAGCCAAGTTAAGCACTTTGACACCCTGCTAATTTTCAAAGGACACTTAAACATGTATTTTGTAGGTGTGTGCAAATATTCAACGTGGAGATTTGAAGCTAAATTGTATCTGGTTGTCAAATCAAACTGGAAAGGCAATGTTAATTGTTCAGTCAAATGCCTCCAAATCAATCTGCTGATTTGAGATTTTTGGCCCACGTGCAGATGCACATTGCATGCACATACACACACTGGCACACACACTGAACCGGATTTAAAAGACCACATCTAATAAATGTAGTTCAATTTTCTAAACCAAATTGGAAACTTGAATCAAACCGAGGATTTGAGTCCAACTGTAGCTGAGTGCTTAAACATCTGCCCGAAATATTCAAAGTTCAGTGCAATCCTCTATATACCTTAATGGAAACAAGTCTAATTAGTAAGACTTTCTTCCAAGTAAGTGTATATAGGATTACCACCTAACTTCATTCTGGTACATGCCAGAGCATTGTCCTCCAAGTTGGAGCTGTGCTCCATCTTAGACCTGCAAGTCTCAACGTTTCTAGCCTACAGGCTTTAAAACAGGACAGGGGGACTTGTAGCCTGTTGCTGAGTTTCAATCCCCACTTGGACACCCTCTCTGAAGCTCTTGGAAATGCTAGTTCAGTAAGATCTGGAGGACCACAGCATCACAACTCCTGCTTAATTTGCATTAGACTAGCCAGAATGACACTCACCTTCCATGTTTGAAGGCCTTCCAGTTGTTTTTTCTGGGCAGATCAGCTTTCAGAGAAGCATAAATATAAGAGATTAAACAAGCTGTTAACTGGCATCATACATGGCTTATGTAGTCCAAGTTCCAGAGGCGTGTTGTAGACCTTTTTTCAGATGGAGACCAATGTCCAGTAAGTCTAAGTACTCCAACTTTCCAGAGAACATAGGTGGTATATACATTAAGGTAATCCATTTTGTTTTCTTCTTTTAAATGGGTCTTCTATTATTCAAATACATTTGAATAGTTAAATGCATCCAATTATTTCTGTATATCTAGGAAAATTTAGCCATATATAGTGTAAAGGTTGTTTTAAATGCTACCATAGAGAGGGAGGGAAATATAAGGTATTTCAGATCAACATGTGACTATTTTTTTTGAGAAATATACTTCACCATATTTAGCAATGTCCATAGGTGAATGTGATTTTGTATCAGCTGTAACTCCTTCCTACAATATTAGCTATGCTGTAAGAAAACACATTCCCTTGTCCAAACCTCTATAAATAACAATGGCAATATTACAAAAGCCTAAAATGAAGAAATGACAGGAGAATCCAATCTCGACACCAGTGAATGAAAAGAATAGTATTTGTTTTATAAATCCACTTAGGTAAAGATTTTCAATCTGATGAGAGTCCTTTTGAAGTAAATCCAGTGTTCTCTCCAGATCTTGTAGCCCCTCAAATGGATTCACTGGATCTGGTCCACATGAGAAAAACTTCCTTCTTCTATACATGAGCTCCAACCAAAGCTTTAGGGAAGAGCAGGAGTTCTTCATCCCACCCACCCGTACAACTATACAAACATGGCTTCCATTTAAAAACTCACATACAATACACTTCAATTTGTTAACGTGCACAACATTCCCTGAACATGTTTTCAGTATCAATGTTACCTTGCAGATCTTCCCCCTCCCCTTCCCTCCTTAGGATATACTTATTTGGCATCATGGGACTTTTTTTCTAGGCACTGATCAACATTTGGAATGTAACATTCTCACTTCAAAATACTGTAAAAAGGGAGGGAGGGAGGGAGGGAG